CCATAGTAACAATACCAGCTACTTTTTACTTTTCTTCTGGTGTCATATTATAGATTGCCTCAGTTGCATGCAAAGATCCTAAGGAATGTCCAAATATATATGTAGTTTTGCCAGTCAACTTATGGAATGTTTCAATAGATTTCTTGATGTATTTTTGTGATTCTGAAGCTACAATTGATTTTCTAAAATCATATGGTGCAGCTTGCATAGTCAAACCTGGTATGTATCCCATATTTTTTAAAGTGTCAGAAAATTTATGATATCCCTTAGTGTCACACATTGATGATTTGATGATTGAATCAGTAGAAAGTTCTTAGATAGCTGTAGTTCCACATTCTGCATCAGCACTCTAAGGAGTATTCCCATGCCAAGTGATAGATATACCAGGTGCAGCTGAATACCTCTCTTTTGGATCCTTTTTTGATTTATCATAATATAGTTCAATAAAATCACCAAAACATTTACTTTTCTTATTTGTCATTGCAATTGTAAATGGACTATTTATGGATCCCATCCATAGTCTATATTCTTCATTCGGTTTCTTTAACCAAAACTTAGATGCACTGCATGTTTACCAACCGCAATTTTCGAAGATATCTGGTCTTTTTGCTTACAATGTTTCACAATCAATTTTAACCTGTATACATATAGAATAATATTATTACTTGTAAAATTGTTGCTATTATTCCAGGTACCAAGATAGCAGGTTGACATGGACCTGCAATGAATTCGTTAATATAGGCTTACAAGCTCAATTAACTTGGATCTTTTCCATTTGTACATACATTTGCAGTACTTTCTAAAAATTCCTTCATTTATTCTTTTCTCTATCTCTCTTACTCTTAATAAATTTGTTCATGGTACTCTCTATAGTATTCACTCATATTAAATACTCAAATTCTGACTAAGGTTTCAGACCTCCTAATTCTATTAATTTTTCCATCGACGGATACAATAACTGTATCATTGCGAACCAAAGATTTCTATCGGGGTTATCCAAATACGGTGCAATTGAAAGTATTCCAATTGTCACTATAGCAAGCAATTATTTAATCATTCAATAAATATTGTATTTCCTTATCATATGATATCAATTCAAAAATTAGCATCATAATCGACTTAATACGTACAATTATAGATACACAACCAAATTAAACATAATTTTAATTTAAACATTACAGCATTTATGTTATCAATAAATGTTGTCTTCAAATTTAATAAACATCTAATTTCTGATATTTAATTTCATATATCATATCCACTCTATGTGATCCGAAATTCCTTAATTTATATACTATGCTATTTTTCTTTGGAGTAATCAAGAATTACTTTAACCAAGGAATGCCATTACATAAATGAGAAATTAATAATTAAACTAAAAATAATATTATAATATATAAAATTCAAGAAAATTCTAGTTTAAGACCCGATTCTTATGTACTCATTAATAAAACTTTTATAAAATAATAAAAATTGTGCTATACTATTACAATTAATGAAGGTAATTCCATACTTTTAGTTTGGTTTTGATTCATATATCAAAATGTTTTGATTCAAAGAGGGAGATTTGAAATTCATAAGATATCTTAGGAGTTATAGAGATTTGTATTGTAACTCAATATTCCTTCAGAAGAACAATATAAATTTTATTTCTGGTTCTTTTGATATGACTTTAAGTATTCGGTATTGACTAAACGATTAAATTTTGGATTTGCTCATAATTTTAATGCAAAATACACAAATTTGAGTATTTCTTGTTCCTAAACAATTTCAGAAAATGATTCCACAATTCATAGAATATCAATAAATTAATAAGGTGATTAAGTGATTTCTTACTGGGATAACTCTACACTTTCGGTAATGTAATTTAAAACTAATTCTTGAGAGAATTTTTAGAGAATTAACACCATTAAAAAGTATGAAATTTGTTTATTTTAAATAATAGCATATTTGTGTATTGTTGGGAGGATGTATGTTATAAATGTTTATCAATGAACAAATGCTCATTTATTATTTAAAATAAATGAGATGATTCCTGTGAATGGAAAAATTAATAATTTTATATTTTAATCCAGCATAATACATCTCAAATAAAAGACTTCTCTTAATAATAAATGGATATCAGGTTAATCTATTGCGTTTTAATAAATATTATTGATCATAACTATATTAATAATTTCGCAAGAAATATTATACTGGGATAATCAATTGATTATTAAGACCATGTATTTGGAACAACCAACGCTGACGGCAATATGTAATTACTTGGGATTAATATAATCAAGAGATTTAAATTAGACATGCATCTACAGAAGCAAATCACTAACCTTGATTTATTTTTATTATTTCTCTATTCAAATATGATCTAATAAAAGTATCTGCTATCTTCAGATATTTTCAACATTAAAACAATGATTTTACATACTTCAAAAAGAAATAAATTTATTTTTATAATAATAATTGCTAAAACTAATTTTATGAGTATTATTATTGTTTCACCCCGGTTTGTTACTTCATATTATTTTCAAATTCGAGAAGGAATTTTTTTTCCTAAATTTTTCTAATAATAATTCTAAGAATCAATGTATCTTTAGAACTCAGAGTACAAAATGATTTCAAATCTTGGTTTAAGTTCAGATCATGTTGTCTTAAAGGCTTAGCATAGTGAGACTTAAAATGTATATGCTATAAAGATTGAAAAAAAACCAGGAATTGGGTAAGTGGAGACTGAAGTTTAGATTCTTTAGTAGCTATTTGGTATAGAGGGAATACCTAAATTAATCTAATATGGTAAGACCAAAGATTTTAAGTACTTTAAACATTTAACTTAGAAATTATCTAATCATACCACTGCTAAATTGCAGTTTATAAGATCTAGGAAAGACAAGCTTACTTTCCTAGAACAGCATACTAGCAATAGGGTTAACTGTGATAAGAACAATTAAATAAGTTCATAACAAGGGAATATTGCATCTTGATATTAAACCATAGAACATAATGATATCACAACGATAAATAATTGACTCAGTAGAATAAATTCTCATACCTGGGAATGTCTAATTGATCGATTTTGGGTTATCTTAAAATTTAGGAAATCAAAAGTTCTTAAAAGAAACCTTTATTGGTTCAATAAGATTTGCCAGTCGTCAATCTCATAAAAAGGAATAGCTGGGTTATAAAGATGATCTTGAAAGCCTACTTTATGTTTTAGCATACTTAAGAAAAAGTAATTTAAATAATACCCCTAGAAAAATTACCGTGGCAACAGACCTAACAAAAAGCTTTTTAATTAATGGATATTAGAAGGATCGGTATTATAAAAGATTAGGTTTATGAAACAAGTATGCTTTCCTAATAATTTCCCCCTTAATTTTATCAGTTTTAGTTATATATTGATAGTTTAACACCTTCCTAGATGCCGGATTATAATTACATAGAAGAATTATTCAAATAAATGCTATAATTAAATTAACCTTCAATAACACCATCTTTCCCGAAACCTACTCCTTGTTTTTCAAAATACAAAGAATTAGAAGATTAAGAATACATTAAATTGAGCGAATCAGTCTCCAGTTTGGATGGAGATGCAAGAGCGATAATAATCTCTGATTTAATTAAAGCTTACACAACTATAGGAATTAAATCCTTAAAAGACATTCATTTTTGAATAGCAATCAAGAAAATCTACTGAATAATATTGATGAACTTAATCTTTACAAATTTTTATTAAAAGTACTAAAATGAATTTATATATATATATAGTTTTAATTTTCTAGTCAATATCAGTAAAACAATTTTTTTCTAAATAAAACAGTCCTAACTCTTATCTATGTTTAGAATTAATCAGAATTAATCAGAATTAACATCAAATATAACAAAATTTATAGAGGTATATTCTTATGACTCAGGAAGTTACTGATGTTTAATAATAATGTTGTTTTATATTTCTAACAGGTTCAAACTAATTTTCAGTATATAAAATTATAAACATCCATTTAATACTCAATCAATTAAACATGATGATATCAAAATTTTCATATGTCATTTCATATGATTCTCATAACGAATTATTATATTTTGTAGGGGAGGATAGGATGAATTTATAAATATTAAAATCTAACTTTTTAAAGTATTTTGTTAAAATTTCAATTTTTCATTGGCTCAGCCATTTACTATAGATTTTTATTGAGCGTGCTTTCTTAGCCTTGAGTATTTGATTAGATTATAATAGGTTAAAATGCTTATGGATTCCAATTTTCAGGTTAGATCAATGGTTGAATGTACTCTTTAGGGGGAATAGCCAAAACGGTAATTGAAATCTTCACAGTGGGTCTAGGTGAACAACAAGAACAACCTAACTAGATTTTACACTTACCCTCATAATGTGGCTGAACTTTCAAGTAATATATTGAATTCACACAATTTCCTAAAATTGATGGAGTTGGGTGCTAAAGAGGATTTTTTAAATTAATCAATTATAGTTGGTAATCTTTCTTTTAAATAAGTTAAATTTTATTTCCTTTTTAAGGACCTTTATGGTATTAATAATTTAATTCAAATTCAAGAACATGTTCACTATCTGAATTAGATCTCAATCTTAATCTATTCACAAATACAGAATCTACTTTATCTACGTCAAGTTTACAATTTGAGTTGTCTATATCATAATTAAAGTTTAGAAATTCAGTTGGAAAATATATATTTTTTCTACTTTATTTCAATGGAAGATGTCTAAAAATATGATTAATTATCAATACTCCTCTTTTAATACAGCATCTACTTACAATCTAAGAAGATTCCCTCTTTTATTTCGATGAAATAATTTCTTTAATAGTTTCCCTATTTATTAGTACTTATTTATTTTTAATATCATTTATCGATTTAGATGTTGAGACTACTCTCGCAATAGCTTGCAAGAACGCCATCTTTATAATAACATGTTCCAGGTAAGTTTGCAGAGAGATGGACTTCAGAAGGAAATATGAATGAACCAACCATAAGATTATCATCTTCAAATGTATGGGCCACTACTGTGACTTGATGAAAAATATTTTTTCCTTCATGTGGTCTTCTTCGAGTACCTGATCCTGTTTCCCAACTTGTTTTTCTTTACCCAATATGGTAAGTTTGACTTCTTTTCCACGAAATCCTTCTTTGATAATATGAAGATATATATTCCCTTAGTAACTTAAATGTAATCTTATTACCTTATACAACATCTCCAGCAAAATATAATTATTTTTCAGTTCTTATCATTATTCCACAAAATTCTGATCCTGATTTGTTACCCATTTGATATTTTATAAATAATTAATTTTTAGGTTTGTTTTTTGTTGAATGAATCCTAGTATTTCTGATTAATTCTGATTTCAATATACCAAATCATCAGATAATGTAAGATGCAACTTTTAAAATGAACAAGCTGAATAATAATTCTCTATATAATATATTATATTTCAAATTTATTTCACTCCTGATCTCTACCTTATTTATGCTTCTTCACATTATTCTAATAATGTTTGATATCTATACTTTTTCTACATAAAGTCCATCCATTATTTGGCTGTATCTTTAAAGCCTTCTAGTAACAAATGATGGCCTACTAATATCGTTTTAACTCTTGTAGACATAAGCCTAAGTGTAATTGAATGAAAAACCTTTTTCAGAAAGTGAAAAATAACTCGTTGTAATTATGCTCAATGCTATATCAAACAACTTTAGAGCAAAATCGTATTTCTTATAAATTCTTAAAATATCGCCTAATTAGTATTGAGGCTTACCTTTGGTTCCTAAAGTATTAACAAGTCTTGGATCTATAGCCAATAATTTATCAGCCCAAATTAAGGCTTCGTTATACTAAGAGAGAGATCTTAAACTATCAGCTAATTATCAATGAAATAAAGAAACATTTACAATATAAGGCATTAAAAAATTTAGGATCGATAGCCAACACTTTATCTGCCCATTTGATTGCTTCATTGTAATTACCAAGCAATCTTAAATTGTCAGCTATTATTTAAGATGAAGTAATACCTTTACAGTGTAATGTGCTGATATGATTGGGATCAATAGCCAAGACCTTCTCTGTTCAAATAATGGAATCAGCATTCTTATCCAACATATATATAGATGAATAAAAAAAGAGTGGAATGAGAAAAGCTTAAGCTAAATTATAAATAACCTTTACACTACATTCCACTAAGATTATTTAGATCTATGCAAAGTAACCTTTATCTACAATGTCTAAGGCCTCATTAAATTTCCCAAGTAATCTTAAACTATGAGCTTAAATTATTCAAATTTTCTAATCTTTACAAAGCAATATATCTAAATGATTAGGAAAGAGTTCTAGTATCTTTTCAGCAAAAATAATTGCCTTTCCAAAAATACCAAGTTTGAATAAACTTTACACTATTATGGGTATAATTTATTAATACCAAATATTTATAGAATATAATATTCTTGGGCTCATGATCTAAGATTACTTTTGCTGAATTAATGGCCTCTTAATATCGAGTCAACATATATAATTCTTTAAAACAATTTCTTATAATAGACAATGAGCTAATTATGGAGACCATTCTCTTACATTTGCATTTTAATGACTCAAAATTTTGTGGATAACCATCTAATACTTAATCTGACAATTCAATGCTTCAGAATATTGTCCGATGTGTTATAAGATGTTTGCTTACTTAAAAATAAAACCTACCTTTACAAGTCAATGATTCCACTGAATTAGGTTCAATAGTCAAAGCTTTATTGGCCAAAACCAAAGCTTCTCTCTATTAACCAAGTATGTTTAAGCATAAAGCTAAGAATTTTGCTATTTTAT